GAGCACTTAAGGACACCTGGGGGGGGTCAGTTGGGGACATATGGGGGGACAGGTGGGGATTAGGGGGGACATGGAGGGGGGACATATGGGGAGGACGTGGGGGACACGGGTTGGGGACATTGGGGGGGGCACATGGAGGGGACACAGGGGTAATTGGAGATACGGAAGGACATGGGGACAATTGGGGACATGTGGGGACAACCTGGGGGAGATGTGGGGACAGTTGGGGACACGGAGGGGGGAGGTGAGAGGGGGGTGACACAGGGGTCCCACCGCTGTCCCCAGGTGTCACCGCCATCCGCCCCGAGGAGCTGGAGTTCCCCAACACCATGACTGACATCGACTACGACACCTGGATGCTCAGGTGACACTTCTCTTGTCCCCATTATGGCCCCATTCGTCCCCATTACGGCCCCATTTGTCCCCATTATGGCCCCCATTTGTCCCCACCTTGGTGTGGCAGCGTCCCCCTGGCATTGTGATGTCCCCCTGCTGCCCCCAATGTCCCCATGTCCCCTTTAATTCCTCAGTGTTCCTATGTCCCGTATCCCATTGCCCCCCCGTCCCCATTATGGCCCCCAATGTCCCCATATCCCATTGCCCCCCCTGTCCCCATTATGGCCCCCAATGTCCCCATATCCCATTGCCCTCCAGTGTCCCCATTATGGTCCCCACTGCCCCCATTATCTCCCCCAAAGCCCCCATATCCCATTGCCCCCCAGTGTCCCCATTATGACCCCCAATGTCCCCATATCCCATTGCCCCACTGTCCTCGTCACGTCCCCCAAAGTCCCATTATCTCCCCCGAAGTCCCCATATCCCATTGCCCCCGCTGTCCCCATTATGGCCCCCAAAGTCCCCATATCCCATTGCCCCCACTGTCCCCATCATGTCCCCACTGTTCCTATATCCCTCCTGTCCCCCCAGACCCTTTATCCCACGTCCCATTTCCCGTGTCCTCCCACGTTCCCATACCCACAACGTCCCCACATCCCCTATATCCCATATCCCACTGCTCCCAGTGTCCCGCATCCCATATCCCACTGTTCCCATTGACCCCAGTGTCCCTAT